ATGCTTAGCTGTACCTGAGATGCTGTACCCATAATAATTCCATGCCAAGAATATAAAAAAATTCATTGGTAGAATATAGGTCAATAGGTAGGAGAACTTAACCCGGCGTCACCCAGATAGAAAATCTGTACATCATCACCCAGGTGGGGTCTGATGAACTCCATAATTAGAAACAAATAACTATTAGGAATTTCTCCAGATTTATAAATCATGATAAGATTCATTTTTTTATGAGAATTAACATGTATCTCTTCAAATAAATTTTATATCTTTGACACAGGTGGTGCTTCTCAGACCTCAAAGATGTTTACTGCACTGTCACTATTTTGGTAGCTAACCAAAGACTGGATTTGCACCAGAATATCACAGAATGAAGTGTGATTTAAAATATGTCTGGCCGTCTGAGACTCCAACTTGGGTGATGCTGGGTTAAACAATCATCCTGAGTTACTTATAATTTTATGAATTACAAAAAAATTAGACATTATTTAATTACCTTAAAGAATTACACAATTAAATACATTCTTGTCATTCAGATGATGCTAAATATAAAAATATTATACTTATATGAAATAACATATTTTTATATCAAGTCTGCAACATTCATAGGCATCTCATCAATTTGCGTGGAATAATACTGCTCAATATCCCTCAAAATCCTGATGTCATCAGATTTAACAAAGTTGATGGCCACACCTTTACGTCCAAAACGTCCAGATCTACCTATTCTGTGAATGTACAACTCACGATTGTTGGGCAAGTCATAGTTTATGACCAAACTGACTTGCTGCACGTCAATACCCCTCGCCCACACGTCAGTGGTGATGAGCACTCTGCTTTGACCAGACCTGAATTCTTTCATAATGTTGTCACGTTCCTTTTGTGGCATGTCTCCATGCATGGCGCTCACAGTAAAATTGTTTTCCCTCATTTTCTCCGTTAGCCAGTCTACCTTCCTCTTTGTGTTGCAGAAGATCACAGCTTGGGTGATTGTGAGGGTGTCATAAAGATCACAAAGAGTGTCAAATTTCCATTCCTCTCTTTCCACTGCCACAAAGAATTGTTTGATTCCTTCCAGGGTCAATTCATCACTGGAACCAGAAATATTCAGAATGACTTTCATAACTATAATAATATTTTTATTTTATATTATAATTTTTTTTATGAAAAACAATAATTGTGCAATTATTTTGTTTTGATTTATTATGTTATGTGTATGTTTTGTTGTATATATTCCTATTATAGACAATAATGTTTCTTGGGGTAATAAAGACAATCAGTCAATCAAACTAATGAATCTGATTTCAAGACATATCTCAGATTTGTTGTTTCAATACAATTAATCAGCAAGAAATTGAAAATATTTAATTTTAATGAACACAAGAAGATCCCAAAACGGGGAAATTTTAATTTCTGTTGCACTTTAAGGTGGTGAAATCTCATTATTTCATACGGGGTCGGCCCAGTCGGCCGATTCTCTAAGCAGTCTAAGCCTTTTATTTCAAAATATAATATTCCAAAAGCCCTACATCCTAATATATACATTATAGGAATAGGAAGATTCATATTTTCCATAGCTCTTTAACAATAACAAACAAGACCCCAAAAAAATTAGGAAAGCATATATATCAGGCATTATTCTCTTAACACAAATGCCTCATCCATTCAGGCTATTTGGAACCCAAAAATTCCAAGTTTCAAGAAGAAATTCTACTTTTTAAAACTTGGGAATTTTAGCTTCCAGATTTGATAAAAAAACGATACTTTTTTCAATTATAATATACACGTTTGGCAAACATAATTTTCATAGAGAAACCATGCAATGGGTAAGTGTTGTGATCAGTCCAAAAAATTGTGTCCCTGGAGGGAGGAGCTAACACCATATAAAGAATACGGCAATAATGCACAGAATGCACAGGGATTCCAGTTTCCCTATAGGAAAATTATTTTTGCCAGACGTGTATACATGGATTTTTCTGGAATTCATAGGTTTCTGCAACATTGTATTCATATCTAGATCCTATATGCATTTTAATTATTATTATCTATAGATAATTTTTTTCTTTCATAACAAATTCTCCACAATTATTGGAATGATAATAATAATAGTTTCTTTCCCTATATCATTTTCCCTATATCATTATCAATATTATTAATACTAGTCTCAAATCTATATAATAAATTCAACTTATGAGAGAGCTCTATGTTACAAAGTACAGATTTAACCAGTGTATTGAAACAAACTGCTTACAAACCATGCCAACTTTTATAGTTGGGGGCTGTATGTGTTCAGTTTATGTATGTTTTTGTAGGGGTGATTAGAATGTCTTGTGCAATAATAATACAATATTATGTTGACAAATTCAATTAAAAATGAAAACATATTTCCAAACTGATTGTTGCCTATTCCTATCCATATCCTCTCAAATTCAGCAACCATATTATCAACTCTCTTATTATTGTACTCACCGTTTCACCAAGATTCTGATTGGATCAGTCATAAATTTTGAAGTTATCTCTAGAATTTCATGGGGTAATGTAGCAGATATAAGAACTACTTGTGTAGATGGAGGAAGGAATCTATAAACATCATAGATCTGTTCTTTGAAACCCTTGTTCAACATCTCATCAGCTTCATCTAGTACCAGCATTTTCACTGCCCTGGTACGTAGAGCTCTTCTTCTTATCATATCTGAAAAAAAATTCAAATTTACTAATGTGGAATCACTCTTAGAGCATCCTTGGTTACTGTTATGACAAACTAACAATTTATAATAATTTTCATGTTTTTTCTCTAGATATACCTAGAAATGTCAATCATTGAAGTAATTGAATAAGTCTTGAAATATTTATACTTTCATACCATATACCCTTCCTGGAGTACCACTGACAACATGTTGACCATAATCAAGTTTTCTTATATCTTCTCCAAGGTTTGTTCCTCCAATGCATGCATGACATTGGACATTCATAAAGTCCCCAAGAGCTAATATAACTTTTTGTATTTGAACAGCCAATTCTCTTGTTGGTGATAGGCACAACACCTGGGTTTCTCTCATAGTCAAATCCACTGCTTGCAAAATTGAAATTGAAAATGTGGCAGTTTTACCAGTACCAGATTGAGCTTGTGCAATTACATCTCTGCCTTTCATAATAGGTTTTATAGCTCGTTGTTGAATAGCTGAAGGTTTCTCGAAGCCTGAAAACAAATGTAGGTTAATATAAAGAGTGACCTTATTTTTCAAAACAATCTCTCACCATATGCAAAGATTCCTCTTAGCAGTTCTTCTTTCAGATTCATGTTTTTGAACTTTTCGATAACTTCCACATCTTCACTGGTTTCAAATTCCACATTTGATAAATCTTCAAATATTGATGAAGCTGCCCTCTTGTTAGGAACATCCATTGTAGCTATCTGTTTTCTCTTGTATGGAGTATGTCCTCAGTTCGCAGTTACAATTTCATGAACCAATTACAATATCGAATTGAATTATTATTCTTGTTGTTTGATTAGAATAATGTAACCTTTCAAGATTCGTCTTTTCGTGCTTTCAAGATTACAGACTTTCAGAGCAGAGACTTTGGATAATTTCACCAACTAATTTCAGTCAGATCGTCAGATGCGCAGGCGCAGCTGCTAGAAAATGATACTGACGCTGACGGCGCTGTCACAAGTGTCACATAATAATACCAACTGTTCACAAGTCAGGGCTCGACCAGAATTCACTTCCACCGTATTTTCTCTGGCCATGCGTCCCGCTATCCATGAATCTAGGGTTCGTTGATGGAAATTAGGGTCCCTTGATGGAAATTGACGTTAAAGTGTTAGAATATTTGAAGTGTGAGCACCATATGGAGTTTCACACTGGTATATTATATCGTTCGACGAGGGCGAAATATTCACAGAAATATTGACGCTCTTCGCCACTAACTTAGAACAATTTGAATCGCGGCACGTTTTGATATTCGCAAAAGGGACATTTTTTCCTGTATCCACTTTATTTTGTTTCAATCCACTATCACGACATGACGGAGTATGTCTGGAATAATATAGCTGCAAATGAATCGCTGTGCCGTGAATGTGGATCAGGTACTGAGGGGTGGCACAGGTAGTTTTTTTTTTTACCATTGGTATTGGATGGCATAATTCTTATCTCGTTATCAAATCGCCGCAACAGGAAAGTGCAATTTCTCAATCATTTTTATCAGGATATAGTGATTGTAGTGATTTGCACAGACGCCGTTCGATGAATTACAATGTTTTCACTTTCCTTTGGGACATATATCATTTCGTTATCAGATGACGGTGGAAATATGCAGCCGGCTCTCCTAAGCGAAAGCGGGAGGAAGAAGGACATGCCTTGACCTCTCACTCAGTTTGATTTCGTCTCCATGCCGATTTTTTTTATGTAACTTTTCATATCTCACTTTTCATATAGATGTATAGAATTAACTTGCCATATTTCGCCTTGATCAATGTCTGGAAAAACAGCGCACGCCTCTATCTTCTGATTATTGATTTCAGTTTTCACTGTTCATTCAATTTGTATCCATATTGAAATTTCGCAACTGAAAAAGAAAGGGAATTCAAAAACACCGCCACGGCAACAAACTGTTTCATCGCGTTATCGCGTTAAACGCACAGAATATCCTTTTTCTATTCAAATTACTTCCTGCTACATGCCTACGGTCACAATGAATCATTTTGTAGATTTTGAAATTAATTTGGCCTTACAGCAGCAGAAGATCAAAAGATGACGCTCTGTCAAGCAGATAAACAGAAAATGTTAAGCTTGATAGATCATGAAGAGCGCGAATTTTGAATAATTTGGCAATAATTAATTTTAATTCGGTGTTTATACTTTTATCTATTCAAAATATGAATAACACTTGTAAATAATACCAGTCTTCATCATTTGCCTTAATTTCGCTTCTCCAATCGACTCACAAACTCGAATAAAACAATTTCAAATATGAAGTGTGGAAATGTGAATGAACTTATGAACGAACCGACTGAGCCACCGTCAACATCATCAATTTGAGCACGGGACGGAGTGGAAGTGGAGTGTGGCTGGGCTACTTTAAATTTCCTGAAAAGTCGGTTTAAATTATCGGTATTGTTCAAATTTCAGTTATGCATAAACATGTCTATATTCTATCTGAAGAAATTTGATAATTGTTTGCTATGGATAATATTTGATGGTGAAATAACGCGACGGGTTGAAAAGGAGTCAGCAGGTGTATTGGTTTGAAATAATCGGATCCAACAAGAATTTTAGAAACATGATGTTGTGTGACGAAAGGGGCACAAATAGTGGAAATAAGTTATGAAATGCATATTTCAGAATTTCAGCCTTCCTCAAACACCATCTTGACAAAATGTTCCAAAATGACAGAAGAAGGGCACAGGTTACATGGTATGAATGGGAATGCTGACAGAAATATTAAGGAGGAGTGCCACAAAACTAATTATGGGCAAGGAGGACGACTCAAATTTTTCAAAGGTCAGTTTGCTCAGTGATGGATTGCTATTGTGAAATAATATTTCTGCTATTGTTTGCTGAAACTACTGAGAGAGTATATATCTTGATTGTAGCACTGTCCCAGTCCCAGAAGAAGAGCATGTTTTGCATTTATATTCAATTAACAAATCATCTATTATTACCAACATGATTGATTATGTTCCATTCCATTTACATACTTTTGGGAGTATTCAAAATTTCCCTTCCTACATTTCCACAGAGATTTCCACCTTTGGACTGAATTTGATTTACTCACCAAATATCTGTATGCAAAGAGATCTCTGCAGTTATTATTACCATTATTTTATTAGTTAGACTTGTCTATCCACAGAATACATAATTATTAACCCACAAAGGTTAGCTAGTTGTTCTTCTGGAAGTTACTTGATTGGTTTTCATTATAATAATTGGGAATAATATCAGCCATTGAAATCTAAACTTGATAATCTAATCTATGATTTATATTATTTTCAAGATGGAAAATTCATTCTTGAATTGGAAAGGTCTAGGGAAGGGGAGAGAATGTCATGGGTATCTGTTCCTAGAAAGACTTATTGGCCCCCACAGGGTACAGCATCTTCTACTCCAGCATATCGACAAGAAAGTAGCACTTCTCTTAGTGGTGAGTTGGTTGATATCCATTTATTAAATAGATTCAAAATATTGAAGGACAGAAATTGAGCATTTATTCATTTTGTTTCTTCATCTCAGTTGGATTTTTCTAGGTGCAGTTAATTGAGAAAGATTCAACCAAGCTGAGTTTGTGTTTAACTGAGCAATCAAATTTGCCTCTCATATGATTTCAATTTACAAAATCCTTGAAATATTAACAAATCCATCTAGGTTCTCTAATTTCTATTTATTGAACTTTTGAAGAAATGTTCTTATATAGTGGGATATGAGCAATTTCTCTACAATTTTTCAAATTTTAATCCATAGGGTGATGATCAGTATTCCATAAATCTTAGAGTTTCACTCAAAGAATGAAAAAATATGAAAATACCTGTGTTTGAAGAGCAATATATATGACAAAATGAATTTGCCTTTCACCTGATTTCAATGAATACAATTTTTAGCACAAATTTCCCCTACAGTGTCTTCTTCAATGTTGATAATGAGTTGATGAATATTTAATCTATTATTATTGTTTCAAAGAGAATATGTTCAGTTTGTTCTTACAATATTTTTGTCACTTTGTCTAATATCATTATTGGAATTTTTTACTTTATAGTATTAATAAAGAAATAGATTTTGTAATGATAACACTACACTGTTTTACCATGCAACAACATCAGAAGACATCATTAATTTTGTTTATAGCATATCTTTAGTAGGTATTTTTTATGAAGAAATCTAGAACAAGATTATTTTTCTCCAAACTGCATAGAAAGCTTTTCTATGACACTTAACAGGCAGCAAAGATATACTTTCTCTGTCAATTCAAAAAAAATTTGTTGCTATGCATCCAAGTATTTTGAATGAAATTTTTAATCAAAATTGGCACTGACATTGGGTGAACACAAATTGATGTAGTTCTGAAAAAGAAATTACACAAAATTGGTTTTATAACATTTGGAGAAAGAATTTAATGTTTCACATGGCAGCAATTAGATTGGCTGCCTTGGTGGAATACCTAGACTTGCTACTACCATAGATTGAAAATACTACTACTTTGCTGCCTAGTGAAACAAATAATTTTCCTATTCAAAATCACAGATTTCTGAATTTTTCTAGGATGAAAAGAGGGTGAATTGAATATGACAATCACATAATCAATTCATCTTGTGTTATATCTTCCATTGTTTTCCACAAATATTAGAATAGAATAATAATAGAATAGATCCAAGATGATTTTTCTTCTTTGGAATTACAGATTTCGGATATTTTCAGGGCAAAGAAGGATAAAATATATGCAACATTAATATGAGGATACACCATGAATTTATTTCATTGTGTATTCTTTGTATTAATAGCAAAAGAAATCCACCAAATTAAATTTGATAAAATCAAGGAACATCAGGAATCCATTTATTGGCATATTATTTTTGATGAAAAAAATCCAGATAATTTTTTTTTTCCAATTGGGAATAACAGATTTTCGGTATTGTTTTGATTTTTAGAAAAAAAAAGGGGAAATTAGAAGACAACATCAGGATGCATTATGCATTTACTATTATGAATTCATTTGACAAACCAAATATTCTTTAGAAATGAAGTCATTTGGACGACATAGCAGAAAAATAAAACATCCAGTAACTTGTTAACAAAACTAGTGGCTTATAAGAATATTTTGTCAAATTCTTGATTAAGAAGATTACCCACAGTTATTGCATGCCTAACACCTCATAATTGTGCTTAGTGATACTGCTCCAAATATTGATAATTTTACAAAGTCCACAACAAATTATCATAAAATTGCTATTTAAAAATGGCCTGTGACACCAGTAACATCACCACATATCAGAAGTTGGCAAAGAATTGATGGTGTCTTTAATGACCTAAATATCCACTCAAGTTGCTCTTATTATACAAAAAGCTAATTGTAAGAAAACCACTGTAGTATAAGAAAATTATTTGATTCAGGCAATTTCCATTGTGTTCAGTAATGAACTATTTGCTCTAATAACTTTGAAACAATGGAAAGGAAAAGAATTAGAATTGCCAATATATGGTCAAATACACAATTCATCATACAGAAAAAATATAAAATATCAAACTATGAAACTGATTTCATATGATTTAATATCAAAAAAATTCAAAATCATAACAGCTACAACAAAATGGAAATGCAAAAAATACTAATAGTCCTTAGATGATTTAGTATGGGTTGTGATTGGCTAATTTTGATGCTCAACTTGGTTCATTTCAAAATTGACAGTATATTAACAACATGGTTTATTTCATCTTGATGTCGCTAATTCTTCTATAGGCCAAAAAAGATTCACCCACGCTGCTCTCTTGGAATATAACAAATTACCAGATAATATAAAAAATTGCAGAAAAACAATACTTAACGTTTTCAAATATTATTATTTATTAGTTTATCATAATTGTATAGTTTTAGGTATTATTGTTAACTATACTTCTGTATACCAGAACTTGATTCTGACTGGAAGTAACATTTTCAATAAATAAATAAAACCTCCAAATGCCATGGGCTTTCATTATTGGCAATTATTGCTAAGTGTTCCATTTTTGATGAGTAACCATAAGGAATATTTTCTTTCATCAACCTTCATATTATGTTCATTCAAGTCAAGACCAAAAAGAGTTCTTCCTATCACTCACCTTAATATTTGTTCCCTTAACCTCTAATTTTTCTAATGAGTAGGTACTTGTTCTGCAATAATATATGGATAAAATTGAATAGCCTTGCAAATACTCAGGAAAAATCCGGAACTGAAATGAAAATCTTGTAGAGCATTTCCTCATATGTCATAATAAATGAGCCTTGAGAATAATGAATGAATTAGACTTGGAAAATCAAGATTGTTTTCTGAATCAATGCAATAGTTTCAGATGATAACAGTTCCATTCAATCATCTCCCTGGCAGAGAGACCATTCCTGGAAACAGACAAACCCGACTCCTAACATATCAAAAGAACTGATGTTTTACTTTTGGCAACCAAAGGGTAAGAGACCGAAGAAACAAAGCCGGAAAAGAAGGGCACCTCAATCGACCTCTCCCGAACCCCAATATAATAATTCAGTGTGTAGTGAAAGGACTTCCATAAGAGTTAAGAAAGAATATGGCAGAAGGTCCCTTCTCTCTATTGTGCAACAATTAATTGACAAAGGTTTCAGAATAAGGTAAGTTCATATCTTTGAATGTAAAAAAGGTTATGATTCATATACAGGGTGATTCATTAAGAATCGGTAATCTTTGAACTACAGATAGTAAACACTCAAATATTAAGAGAGAGATAGAGTTTCAACTTTGAGATACAATAATTGCCCTGCCCAATTAAATCTGAGTTGTTCCAGCGGTTTTTTCTTAATTGCATTACAACAGAGAAAACTTGGGTCACCAAACATAAACAGAGACGGAAATTTCATGTAGCGCTCACAAAAGCAGCGGCCGCCTGCAGCTGGTTTCCAGTCTTTACGAGGGTCAGTTGAAATGCCATGCTCATATTGAAGTGAGAGGCTTCGCTACGGGGTTCAATGAAAATGTAATCTGAATAATACATACTTTTTTTAATATTATGAATTTTAGCATAGAAGGTCCGTTCATGAGATATTTTGTATCAAGAATAAAACGTTCATAATATAGTTATTATATTTCCATTATTTACAACTCATGAAGAAGAACAAGAACAATATGTGATCTTGATAATGAACTAATTGCCACTATTATTACAAAGGTGCCTGTCTTGATATTTCTCAGAGAGCGGCTCAAAGAAAGAAAACGGTGTTGTTTATTTTGGATTTATCATTGGCATTCATGATGTTTAATTTTATTTCAATACCGATTTTCACAATGAGGTAGAAAAGTCAATGTAGAATAAAGGGGAGCATACTATTAATATTCAATTTGGAGAAGGCCAAAATGCTTATTATTGCTAGTTAATTTCACATGTTTTGTTTTAATAGAATATTGAATAACTTAGGCCCTTTCCTAAAAGCAATAACAGTACCTACTAACAAAATAAATAGGTGTTTTTCAGTTAAGTTCTTAAGATATTCAATTTTATATTTGGCGTATCAACTTTTTTATTCTTAATATCATGTTTAGCGAATTTTATAGTATAATAAATACGAACTCTCGTATACAGGGATAACAGATATTCCAATGGAAAATGTTCACATGGATGTGCAAATGAAATATTCTTGAATGAATCCCATGCCCTGGTTTATTGTTACAGCCTTCAACACAACACAAACCCATTCATATTAGTCAAAATTATGACAATAAACTAATGCTAAATGAAGAAGTGAGGTGTCTTATTGGATTCCAACCGGTATACAAGTACACTGCGTTACCTAGAAACCTAACGTGAAGATTATCGGTATACGCGAGAGTGCCGAGAAGTACTGAGATCGGAGACGGGGCAAGAAGGGAAATTTTCGGGCGGAGCAGAGTGGTTCTTCTAGTCTCTGTTTATGTTCTGTGCTTGGGTGGACCGTTTTTGAATGGGCTATCCAGTATACTCAATCACTATTAGTTTATCCTGGTCATTAATGCATTGAAATTACCCTGTATATATCAATGTTACCAGAAGCCGGGATTGGCGCAGTGGAAGAGCGTCCGTCTCACGACCGCAAGGTCGTGGGTTCGATTCCCAGCACGAGCAAGTAACTTATTTTCAATATTTTATTCACGAATTAAATATTGTAAAGTTTCGGAGCATCGGCTGGGGATAGTCCTGCAGGATTCACTGTTGCGTTCCAATTAACAGTGCTGCTCCTTAAGTGGCGCATGGAGTTAGTAACAAAGCCTACACAGGACACGCATAAAGAGATTATGATGATGTGGTTGTGAGCATCAGAGAAGAAGTAGGACGGTGTATGTAGGTGGGTGTGGAAAACTACCAGCTGGGCGTGAGAGCGGGCCAGCTGCTTAGTGGACCTCGGTCTCTAACGGGGGTTAACGATGATAGCTAGCAGGCCTGCCACTGCAGCATATGGTAGTGAGTACCTTACTAGCCTACAAAACACAGCCGAAAAACTCTGAAAGAGAGCTGATGGGCAGTGCCTGAAAAGGATGTTAGCCAGCTCTCTTAAGCAAACCACATCAGTCATTGAAAACACCTTGGGACTTGCAAAAAGGTCCCATTAGGGACTAGGTGCTGACGTGCAAACGTCCCCCACCAGTACCAGTATCAACGTTACCATGTACCATGTCACCGATAAGAACAATTCCATAATTTCCAGCACCCCACCGAGAGCCGAAATGGTCGTATCTCCCAGGAAACGCTTCCTCCGCGAAATGGAGAAGGACAAAACGCCGGGCGAGGACAACTCGCAGAAGAGGAGCCGCAGCAAGCCGCAAGTCGTAGCCAACTCGACCCCGTCAACTTCGACCGGCAACTGTCATCCGGCTGGGGCGGTTTCGGCGAATCGCGTCGAAGATGCGAAACCGCCGCGCCAATCGAACTACAGCATTACGTCGCTGCTGGCGGAGGACCGCAACGTGAAACGGTCGCCCAGCAATTCGCCTAGTCATTTCTCGCCGGTGGCGCACGCGCAGTACTGTTCGCCGGCGGAGGAGCGGTGGTATTCGGAGAGCGTCGATCGACTGAGGTCCATCGAGCTTTCGGTGAGTTTGTTCATTCATTAATTTATTTATTTATTTATTTGAGTTACTCTAAGCCCTATACCTACTAAACATATACGGATAACAAGGATCTCCAGGTGAAGCCAAAAAATAAAATGAATGACAGTCTGCCAGCAAAACTGTATTACAGCGCATGCGTCATCTAAAAATGAGAAAATACGTCAGTTTGCAAAATTCCTTTCAGCAGGCGATGGCTTTGTAATGAACATATGCGTATTATTAAAACTTTCGTGAAATGTACGACATAACCTAAAATTCAATGTTTATATTTTGTTATCTGAATCTGAAGCCCCAGACAAGAAATCATGACCGAGACTTCACTGGAATTCATATTTGCGAAGTTTTGGTGGTTTTGATGAAGCAAACAGCTTTAATTTGTGGTTTTGGAATGAGTTAGCTGAAGATTTTTGTCTCAAAATACTTCGAATAATGGCCAACAAGTGCAAGACATTATAAACATACAAATGTACAGCTTCCCAACAGATGCAAAATTATAGGAAGTGTGGCAGAACATTACAAAAATTGGGAAGCCCATTTACAAATATATATGCCTGTCTGTAGCAGACACTTCTTAGAAACAGATTATGAAGGTAATTTCTTTCATTTCAAGAAAATATCTTTTCAGTGTTCTATGTAATGTGCATTTCTTTCAAGTTTCCAGGGAATTCAAATACAATAATTGCAGAAGTAGGTATGTACATTTTCTGTGATGCAGATTGAATACCTTCACAGAATTCACTATTCACTGATTACAATGCATCAAAATGTAAAACCTGTGATCAATGGATGTGAATGGGAAAGAGGAAGGTCACTTCCATACAAAACTTGAATGTGTCTTCAGCTATATCAACCACATCATCCTCAGTAAGAGGATCGAATGAATCTGATAATGACAAAGATGCTGGAAGGATAGAACTTGCTTACCAGAGTGCTGATGTAACTTCTACCAGGACTGATTATTCTTGTGAAAGTGCCTATGATGTTTCCATAGAAAAGACAAGTGCAATTTCAGTAGCCAATCTAATGATTTTTTTTTCACTTTTTCTGTAATAATAAAAACTTTAATGAGTACCTCTCAATTTTGCTTTATTTCAACATATAAACCAGCATAATGATTAACACTGTGAATAATTTGAAGCTTGTAATTTTATACAAGGAATAGAAATAAAATGACTATGAAATATCTCCATTATTCTCCATCTCAAGACCTTGCTCAAGTGTGATTTTGACAGTAATGGAATCTTTTCAAATGTTGTTCTTCCTGCTTCATGGTTGAAATGTATGTAGGGCAGTTAATTTGTTATCTGGAAAACAAATATCATCAATTACCTATTTATGGAAGTTAGAAATTATATAAGACTTACAATTCACCAAGAGTTCAAACTTATTCTTTTTCATCAACAGCATGATTAATTTTGTAGGAAAGTTTCTTCAATCTTCGTCTTCCTTTAATTGTAAAAGCTAGTATAGTGTTGTAGGCTCTACTTATTACTACATTGCATCTATGCCTGACTTTTTTCACCACTTGCTTGGGTGTGAGCTTCACAACTGAATTCTTCCAGTTCTTTATGCCCACCTAAAAATGTGGTTGAAATTTCAGTAAGCAAAAGGATCAATCAAGCATAATTGACTTCATGAGGCTTCAGCATAGACAAACCAAAGTTTCTCTATGGTCTTAAGAGTTTCAAAGCAGCAGAAGTTTATACAACCATCAGCCCAAAGATCTCAAGTTTCTGTATACTTTTCACTTCAACAAAATATCATTATTTCTTACTTTTGTATACCTGTTCGTCTGCCACCATCGGCCGATTTTCAAAAGCACTCAAATCGCTAAAATTTCGAAATAAAAATGTTTGAATCATAGAACCGAATGTGGAATGTGGCTCTGTTCTCCCCATTCCACTGACAGTTTTGACATCAATATCAATGCTTTGACGTGCTTTTCCTGCTATCGGTAAGAAATTTCAACAACATACTAATATATAAATTCGTCCTCCATGATTTGACTCTTGATTTTGACAAATCCCGCGCATGCGCAAATAGGTATTATTACCCGCAGACTGTCATTTGTTTCCTCAAAACTGGCTTCACTTTTGACCATGGAGGATGTTATCTGTATATGTTTAGTAGGTATATGCTCTAAGCTAAGAGATAGCGAATTTGCTCAAACCATACTTGGTAGTACGTGGAAGTGTTCATTTGTTCTCCTGTTATAATAATGTATGTCAACACTCTCAGCTGGAATATAATAAGGTTAGTTCACATTGACCCTTTTAAGAGCAGATAGCCATTGAAGAAACACCTATATTGCTTTTCAATTGTTGATAATAAATTTGCAAAAGAACTAATATAAAACCACATTTTATACCTAACTCTTGCTAGGCGACACCCTCCTTTGTAATGAGGCATTAGGAACGCCAAAGTTGATACACTTTCCTCGTGAAGGAACCTGGCGTGATACCATAACATACTGTTAATCTTTGGACTGTTCAATCCGATATTAAATAACTTGAAAAAAATCTATTGAAAAGCAGTATTTGCGGATTTAGGAATATAACGTTAATGAAAACCTATCTCAATGGTCCTCATATTTCATGTATCTATCTGGGAAGGCGTTCACAGAGTTAAAATTCCAATGTAGTGCCCTGAATTAGCAATTCTGGCACAGTCCAGGAATATCCTGAAGAAAAAAAAGAATTAGTTATTTTTTTCTGTTGATGCCTACGAACGTCCAAGTTTATACACTCCTCTTTAAAAGGTGTTTCCATAGAAAATTCTGTGAAATCTAATATTCCACATAGCTCTGGAAAATCCTAAAAAAATAAGAATTAGTATCATAATTTTCCAATTGCTCCATATATCATTCATTATTAATTACCTCGTTAATAACACATTCAATTGGGTGTACCTTTCTTCCTTTTAAATGATCAAAACACCTCATTTTTCGAGTTGGTAATGTTGGTATTAAATCTCAAATTTTAAGTAAATAGGGGATTGAAATTATAAAAGTTACATGGAATAAGAATCTGAAATATACACATACGAAACATGTTTTCAAATTCCGTTTCTGAAATGCGACATATTCCTCTATTATTAAAAAAATGAACAGAACAAAAAGCCAACAATTTTCTCCTTAATGAAAAACACTGTATATACCTAACCCATCAGGCGCCTACCCCGGTTGCAACGAGGGTTTACCGATGCCAAGGGTTGATACTCTCCCCTCGTAAGGGTACCTGTCGTGTCCATTGAGACATAAAGGTGACTATCAAAAAATGTTTTATGATATATCGCCTTCCATAACAAATATAACATTGTGGAGGAAAATTCGAAATAAGTTGAATATAATACGAAACAAGAATGGGAAAATCATCACCGGTCGCTGGTTTCTGGTCTGGTTTCCTCTTCTGTGCAATTTTTCTGTTGGGCTTGAATGGCCGATTAATAACACGTTGATCTAAAACATAATTTGTATTGAATCTTGAATTTCAAATTGATTGGGGATTGAAATTATGAAACTAACATGGAATTGAAAACTGAATATACGAACACTGTCTTCAAATTCTGTTTATTTGATTACTCAGAAAATGAACGGAACAGATAGCCAACCATTTTTTCCTCAATGAAAAACACTGTATATACCTAACCCATTAGGCGCACACCTCGGTTGCAAAGAGGGTTTACCGACTTCAAGGGTTGATACGCTCCCCTCGTAAGGGTACCTGTCGTGTCTCCATTGAGACATAAAGGTGACTATCGAAAAATTCTCTATGATATATCGTCTTCCATAACAAATATAAATTTTGAAGAAATATTCAGAATAACTTGAATATAATACTTAACAGGAATGGGAAACTCGTCATCGGTCGCTGGTTTCTGATCTGGTTTTTTCTTCTAAAGTGCAATTTATCCGTTGGGCTTGAATGATCGGTTTATGACAGGGTCCTTCTCCTAGCTACAACATAGTTGGTATAAAATCTCGAATGTTTGAAAAAATTATTATTGAAATTATATTAGTCACATGGAATAAGTAACTGAAATATATATACAAAACCTGTTTTCAAATTCTGTTGATGAAATGCGGGTACCTGTCATGAATCCATTGAGACTTGATGAAAACTAAATTTACCATTTGAAATAGTAGTGATGATAGATGACGTCATAACAGAAACCTACAACACCCTGTGCCTTGTTGTTCATGAAAGAAATTTCGCAACTACCAGTCGACCTGTTCGAGAATGAGCCTTTCCAGACATTTTTATAAAAAATATGTATCGAAATATATGGCTCTGGAATACCTTAGTATATTTCTTGAGATTTTTTTCCCATGAATTCATCAAATAAAAAATTGGAAACGCTAAAATGAACGAGCGAATTCAAACAATCAGACATGGCCGCGAAACGTGTAAGGTCTATGCGCGAGCAATTTGAATTGACTATAATGCCAATTTAGACAAAAAGCTATGATTAGTTAGTCGGATACTTATTTCTCGAAATTTCACTTCAGCAAATAATACAGATGCTGTTAGATCAGTCAATAATACCAACCTACCTGAAAATTTGTAGTACCGGAAAATGTCATTGCATAATTAGTTTGATGGTTGATTTCTGTTGATGGATCATTGTTGAGTGAAATTTCATTTTGGATTGAATTACAGTGCAGATATTATTGCTTTTCAGTTTCAAATCCCTTTCAGATAGATAGATAGATCCATTTGAAATATTCACATCTTGAATATAAATGAAGTCGTCAAAAACACTTGATATCAAACGAAACATATAAATAAATAAATGAATGCTCTATGGTAGGTCTATGTAGACATATATAACAATACAAAATGAAGTATAATGAAAAAATAAAAAATCGTGTAGTAAATAAGTGCGGATTTGATAATTTGCACCCGATGAAATAAAAGCCCTTTTGATGAAGTTTAGTGGAATGAGAGTTGGGTTGTAATAAATTGCAGTAGCGAGTGTTATGA